AAAAAGAGAAATTAAAATTGAAAAGGAATATAATGCGGAAAAATAAAAAAAAGTAAAATATAAGTAAATGAAAATATAAATAAAATGCGAATGCAGATGCAAATGCAAATGCGAATGCAAATGCAAATGCAAATGAAAATGAAAAGTGGAATGAAAGCTTAACTAAAACGTTTCTTTTATGGCAACAAACTAAGCGCACCACAGAAGCTGCCATTCATGCAAGTCTTCTATAAATGCAAACGCACACCAGTGTAGAGGTATGCCTACTGAACACACACACACACACACACACACACGCAGTCATGGACACCACTCATTTACTGATTCACTGTAGTGAAGTCACTCGTTCATTAACACCAGCTCACCAGCTCACCAACTCACCACGTTGCACCGTACTTATGGCGTAGCAATCGCTTTGGCAAGTCATGATGGCATAGACCCTAGAACCGTAAGTAAGCAAATTGATATTTACACATGCAGACACAGCGAAGAGAAAACCTATTTACCCACACACCGACAGCGACACCGACACCGACACACACACGCATACGCCTTTCAAATGCTGTTGCTTCAAAGTGTGCGTGTGCCATAAGAAACTATGGCAGATCACTGATGTCACTCCAGTAGCTTTGAGGCAGTTCAGTGAATAGCTATAAAAGCATTTCTGCCTCGAAGGTCCTCGAAGGTAAGCTTTGTTATCATTTCTCGAGAATTTTTGCAGAGCACAATACCTATTGTCATCAACTTTTTTGTATGTATTGAAAGAAAGATAAAATATTTTTTTGGTATCGAACCTAGAGGAAAAATCTTCTAAAGTCATGCATGCCTACTTAGAGTCCTTTGCTCCGATTACTCCATATTAAGTATTTTGTCCACTTTGATAATGTCTATTATTCTAGATATTAAGCACTTGGGGAGACCCCACTCTTCAGTGCTTGTCAACATCTGCTTCACCATAGGTGTCTTCTTCTTCACTAGGTTCAGCGATTAATGTTTCTTAATTGTGTCTAATACCTACAAATTATATACAATCTACTGATGTGATCAGGGCTCTCAATTTTATGTAGACAAAACTGGCAGTATAGATTACTTGCCAGCCAGAATCGGTATAAGTATTCACGAAAGCATACATGACCCATAAAAAACTACGATAATTAAAATCCCAAGTCTCCAGTTGCTCTATTAATCCAAACTTTTACATTTGCAATTGGTGAGTGCATCAATCTTGATTGTACTTATCTCTTATTTGTATATAAAAATCTGACTGAGATTGATAATAAGTCGTAAGAACTCACTTCAATATAGATACTCTACAGTTTCTTTTAGCATCAACGTGTAACGATTTTCTGTCTCGAAATTTTATAACATCTATCCCAAGGCAACATTCATTAAAAATTCTCTATATACTAAACAATACCCGCTAATAGCTTTTCCAGAAGTCTATGACGTATCAATATTGTTACAAAGGGAACTTTTCTAGATTCACTTACCAAAATCGGTTCAGAAGGTGATCGCAATGCTAAAAATATGAATTATTCAGTCTTAGCCAGACAACACATCCCAAACTAAACACGTCATTAGAAGGACATCACAGGGACTGGTGATTTCGTTACTATGTTATCTATTAATTGTCGATAATATCCTTCACCAAGGGAGAAATATATTTAAACGTTATAAGCAATATAATGCAGACGGCTGCATTTAAAATATGCAGCTGGGTCGAAGGCCTTGAATTAAGTATTGTACTGTACTGTATCTTCTTAATCCGTATCTTCTTAATCTGTGATATATGATTATACACTCAAGTCTCCTCATCTTAGGATTGAGACCTTTGCGTTATATCTTTGTGTCTTAATAATTTTTACACATTTATGGTATTTGTAACAATTATCTTTTAGTTTCTCGCAGCAACTACTTCTATAAGTTAAGTTTCCAATCACCGCAAACCTTCATGTTGTTGCCACTCCTTCTCATGGCCTGGTCGTTGATATTATCCAGTGATATGTCAAAAATCTGAGCTAACTCCTATTTATGCTCAATACAAGGAATGGGGTCGTGGCCATTTTCGTTTTCCCTAACATTCTTTGTACTTAGCCATTTACTGTTTTAAATTTTTATTTTTACTTCAAGAAGAATGGGGTTTGGCGTTAATACCATTAGTATTCTTATGTGAAAGACATGTGACTTTCATGATGTATATGTCTTTCTAATTATGTGCTCCCAGTATTTAGTTGCCTATCTTCAGTGTCCCTACCCTAGTCGGTATTCGAGACCGACTATGGTAGTGTAGAGCGTGTAGAGATCAAATCTATTATAACTAGGGTATGCATGCCATGACATATGTGGTCATGGTAATATAATTATAAAAATAGTCAATAATACTTTTAGAATTTAGAAATACTTTCTAAATTTTATTAAGAACGACGTGTAGATAAGTGTTTGAGGTTTTGTTCTTCGGTCTTTAGCATTTCGTAACGTATTGTTTTTCAACTCAATATTCCATAAATTTCCAAATGTTTACTTGTACTCGATGCCTATTTTCCTTTCTGATGTAATATACATCAAGAACCTCTTATAGTTCTTGAAACAACTTTTTCTCTTGAATTCTTCTGCCGACACATTTAAGTCTAACGAGTAATCCGTATAAGTCTTCCATTATTTCTTCTCATTTATTGTGCTATATTTTGTTGCAGGTTACTGGTATTACTTTCTAATTGAGGTCAGTCATATATTGCAGCCCTTCCAATGCCCTGTTCGTCATTATTCCAGCTGTTCGTTGACATTTCTGTGGCGTATTAGTTAGCAAATATTATGCCAAAAATGTCGTAGTGTTGCATCTTTAGTATCTGGATGATGCTTTGAGTTGCTGATTTTTATAAAAAGCCATCCTTTCGCTTCTCTCCATTCTTTGTGGGATGAGTGTCATTATTTATATATGCATATACTTGAGTTTTCTCGTACTTGCACCGCTTGTATTTATGTTTACATACACAGAAGTATAAGAGTACAGTGCATATACATTTCTTGAAGTGAAGTATTTGGCTTACTTTTTCTTTCAACAAATATTTTTGTGCAATCCGCCAAGAATTTGTATATATTTCATGCACACACATGCACGCACCTCCTGCACGTGTTCGTCCTGCCTACGGACTTCGTGTGCAGTCATAGCTCCGTACCGTGCTGCCGCGTGAGATATGCGCTGCGTCTGGATATGCACACGTTCTGCGGGGTCTTCAATATTTTGTCTTGCACTTCTTACCAACAAGTGAGCACTACAGAATTTAGAAGCTGAAGTGAAATGTAGCTGACCTAAGCACAAAAACAAACATAGCAGAGCAACAGGACAACATAGACCCCTGCACTGTACTCTAGCGGTTACCAGAATTTGCATGTCCGCCATGCACAGCGATGTAAACTGCCACTGTGCGGTGTGTACTGCTCTGCTCGGCAGATTTTTAAGTAAATAAATTGTGGAGATGCAAACCTTGTGGAAGTTAGAGTGCAGTACAGCAGCGGTGGAGACGCAGGATCTCTCCTAACCCCAAGTATGCAGCAAAACAGTGGACGGACGTTTTGAAGTCAGATTTGCCACATGCCAAGCATCGTTTGCTCGTGCAGTCAGGATCTGGATAGAGTATGTGTGCTTAGGGCTTTAAGTATTTGTATAGAAAGTGACAATGTTTATATGTGGCGTAAGGAGTGCCGCCTGCAGCATTTCTCGAGGCTTGAGAGTGAATTGTGTGTGTGTTGTATATCTTTAACCTCTATTATACGATAAACATGGTGTAATCTCTAAATGATATTTCTTTTTTTAAAGATTTTTTTATCTCGATATTACTTCCTATGCAATTGTGGCATAGTATAAGACAATGCAAGATAAATTTCTATTTTATGATAAAGTAATTTAACATATCTCACACATAAACATATCAATACCGAACTGAGCAGAATTGGATGACTACTTACCGAGGCCAAGGGTTCTTAATATGTAATAAATTGAAATTTCTTTTAATTTATTTTGGTCACACACTTAACCTACTACTATAAATATGTGTTTAATCAAAATAACCAAATCAAACCGTATGCTGACGAGGGTGGTGGCATAAGTTTATACTTTGATTAAGCAATATTTAGAAAAGTTAAAGAATATTTAAAGCAATTTAAATTGATTGCAGTATATTTAATACAATTGGGTTGTTATTTAAAAGAAAAAAAGCTCAAAAAAAAAAAAATTGATCCCACTGAAGTTCCACAAACGATTATTTATTTTTCGGTTCAGTTCAGTTTTTATATACCACTATCTTACCTATTCAACAGTATTGTATATAATCTATTTCCGTTCCTCAGTAATAATTTCCCTCAAAAATGTCGAAATGTAATTTGACAGGCACGAGTTCTAAGCCTGGCATTTGCAGTCCAAACAAATTATATACGGACTATAAACTAATTAAATAAAATTCGATTATTTCCAAAGACCACTGATGAAGAGTACTTGGCAATACTCGAAACAGCGTTGTATGGGCAGCCAAATTTCAATAAATTAAAAATAAAAAATTTTTGTCTTTGTCCTTTCTTTGCTATTCGAATCCGTCTAACTTTTAAATGTTTAATTTCTTTGATATGTGATGAATCAAAGAAATGCGATGAAGCGATGTTTTCTGTAAGTATATGTGGAACTCCTACTTTATATAAGTAAAGTATATTAGAAATGCCTTCTTTGACTTTCATATATATTGAAGCAGTCTTATAAGAAAAAATACCTTTCGAAACCATTTTTAAAATTGATTTATATAAAAATTAAAAAAATTTTTTTTTTTTTTTAAATATTTTTCGCTGGTACATGTAACGTACACACACACACACATACAAACATATATATTATATAACTCATATAATAAATAAATATATAATGCATTTCATTTATATTACTAACCTTCATCATTTGTGTTATTGTCATACTAATCTGCATCTTTTCTTCCTAACTTATGCTTTTCCCTCAGGCAATTAAAATATTCGCTATCGAATTAGTAAGCAAAATTTTTTAAACCAAAAAACAAACAAAAACTACAAAATCCGAACAATATGTTAAGCTCTTTGGATGCTTTAGCCGATAAGATTTCTCCCGGTACAGCAAGTAAAGAAAATGTGTCGCTCAAGCAGACATCCCAACAGCGTGACTCCCAAGTACGCGCCCATCAACGACATCTAAGCTCCGATGCACAGCAACAGCAAACGGTCGATCAACATCCAACAAATTTCAAAAATGAACACAACAACACGCAAGGATCGCAAATAACAACATTCTCACAACATCGTGACAGTGGCCTAACGCATCATCAACACATGCACCAGAGCCTGCATGCCCGTCTCAATGGCAACAGCCATTGTAATGGCTCTGATGTCATATCGAATAGATTGGGTCATACGCATTATAGTTCGGTGCATCCATATCAAAAGCATCAGTCATCATCAACGACGCAACTTCACCAGCAGCAAGATCAAACACTGCAACAACAACAACAGCAGCAACAACAGCATCAACAACAGCAGCACCAGCAGCAGCAACAACAACATCGCAGACAGCAGCAACAATTGCAAGATCATTTACTGCAGACACAATTAGATCTATTTCAGCCAAAACTACATTTCGACGGCAGAGAATCGCCGCAGTTTTATGGCACTTGTCTGAAGGAAAAGTAAGTCTAAATTACTAATTAATTATATCTAATTAAAAAATGTTATATTGTTATTTAATATTGATGAAGTTATATACACGCATTGGATGTGTTCGTCCATATATCATTCGACTGAAAAGTGGCTAATTTCATTATCTATAACGCATAATCAGAACTTATAACGCTTAATAATTATTACCCAATCGATTCGTAGAGCACATTTTCATTTCTATATGTAGACATTTCTATATGTACATAACGCATAATTAACACAGAGTCACAGAAATTGGCTGACAGATACTAGGTATATGATATATAACGGTTACTCCAAGCAACTTCTGTTTTCAGATACTCCAGGTATTAGACTTAATTTTAAACTGAAGCCATCAGTCAGTCAACAAAAGTACGAGTCGGTAGTGTCGGAATGATCGATTTGGCAAACTTGCTTTGCTTTGGCTTGTTTTTTTAGAAGGGCACTACTTAGTAGTGCTTTAGTCACATATATTTAATTACAAATATATCTATTAGATCTATATCTATTTTGAAATATAATTCCAAGGATTTTAGTTGCTGTTTTTATTAACATAATAGGTTCATTATTTTTATCCAGACTACTATGTATCCGCAATGGAAGAGCCAGTAGTTATTAATTATAATATCAACCTCGCTACAAGATTAGAGGGATAAAAAGAGTAGGCAATCGCTTGGTTAAGCTGATGACATCAGATCATAGCTTTAAGCAAATAATTTATAAAGTATGAATAATTATTGCATATTTTTAAATTAAATTTTTAAATTAATAAAGTATAATTCTTTCCTCTGCGATTCATTTTTTTCATCTTCTGTGCCATCATAATTTGCGTTACAAACGTAGTTATATACCCATACATCAGCTTCGCTTTGCAGCACAATTTATCTATCTAAAGTCCAGCCGCAATAATGTGAGAAATATTTTGTGTTGTGTATTATTTTTCAAGATAACAGAATTATATTTTATTTAATGAATAATATTGTTAAATCCACAACATAAAATAATTGACCAATGGGTCGACTTTAATGTTTTTGAAAATGCAAGTAAACAACTACGGCACCGTCTGTGAATTACTGTGAGGGATCCGTGAACAACTAGGATCCATCTAGTCCACAAGACAACATATCTAATTGCATTTAACTTGGAAAATTCCAGCACCTGTCGACCCCTGTCGTTCTTAAACGAAGTTGTCGCACAGCTTCCACGTGGTACTCTTGGGTATTTACCTTACATCTGCTGCTTGTGCACAGGATATGGCACCTGGTATGTAGAATCAGCCGCCTCGCAGACGAAAACTGAATGTTGACGACACCACCAAACTAAGAAAGGACCATGATTTACGGATACACAACTGGAATGTCCGCACCGAAAGGAGACTAACTTCACCACCAACCAGGAAATACGATGTATCGGACAATGCTGTTTAGAAGAGCAAACTGTGATACTTTCCACAACTGCCGGGTAAATAGGTGTGCAATTGGATAAGGTTTCGGGTTTAGGAAGAAAAATTCTTTAACATCTTTTTAATTTGCGCGCTCATGCAGATAGAAAAAAGTACGATTTGACCAAAGACAGGTTATATGAGGGACTCGATAAATAAGTCGACACAGTTTGTAGTGAATGTTGGACTTCATTAAATACTCCAAAATGAGTGCACAATAGCTCTTTGGCCCACAAGACAAATGTATTCAATATACTATTAATAATTAATTAGTATTTTCTTGTTATTCTGCGGCAGCCGAAGAAATCAGTTGTCTGGTTCGTTAAGATTATATGTGAAGCTTTAAGTTTTCATCCAGTGTTTGAAGTAAGCTGTTAAAAGCCATGTGACTGATATCGTTCCACATACTATATGGTGTTAGGTTAGATGTCGATCGAAGTCAATGTTTTCATTCAGTGTTTGAAGTAAGCTGTTAAAAGCCATGTGACTGATATCGTTCCACATTCTATATGGTGTTAGGTTAACATAGATGTCGATCGAAGTCAATGTTTTCATTCAGTGTTTGAAGTAAGCTGTTAAAAGCCATATGACTGATATCGTTCCACATACTATATGGTGTTAGATTAGATGTCGATCGAAGTCAGTGTCGAATGGCGAATACCCTAAAGACTACCAGACAGACTGTCTGGTAAGGTGTGAGCTTGACAATTTTTCAAATTCCTTTATAACAAACCTAATTTCTACAGTAAACAATACATAAAATAAGAAGAATGCATATCATATCCATGATTGGAGCTTCCAGAAAGTTGTCACAACCTCTACCATCCTCTTGACTCTTATTGGGGTATATATTGGCGTATACTGTGCCATTAAAATATATTATATTTTTTAAAAAATGTAAATTAAATTTGAAGTTTTATTGACACGCAGCAATTTAAAACAGCATTTACATTTTGTTCGCGTAAGTGCTAAATTGGGCATAAAAAGTTTGTTAGTTGATTTTAGTGCAGTCAAAAATTAATTTTTAAACAGATTCAAAACAGCACTTTTACAACTTTTACAACAAATTAGTGCTCAAATTGAAGTCATAAAAATTATGCATTAATTTATGGCATACATAATGACAAGTGTGGCTCGCACCGTACACGGAGCTGCGCTCCACAGGCACCCCTCGTTCTTCATGCTTTTTGAGTTTTGAGTTTTGCAGTTTGCAGTTTGCAGTTTGCGTGTTGCATGTTGAAAAGTTCAAAATGCACTGAAAAACTGAATGAAAAAACAAGAATGGGTCCAAAGAAAAAAGTGCGATAGCAAAAAAAACTTCATTTAATAATAGAACATGCCAAAATTGAATTAATAAACCGAAACACAGTTGGCAAGCAGAAGTCGGAATATATTAATGACTTGAAAGTTGCAGTAAATGCAACAAGCTGTCACTATTGCAATAACATACAAAAGGAGTAATTAAAATATCTTATGCACTTATTGCGTTTTTTCGAAAGAGTCAACAAGAAAAATCATCGAGCAACGCATGCAACATGCGACACAAATGCTGATTCGAATCATCCAAACTCCAATTCGATATGCAAATTGGCAACAAAAAAACGCAGGGTACTTCGCGCTTCGAATGCACATCAAACGCCGTGTAACGGAAACGGAAATAAAAAAATCAAATCCATAGGAAGCCTTAACAGCAACTTGCAAGCCACAAATCACTTGACAAATTACCAAAAAGCGACATTTAAATAGGCAAAGTCACACGACACATACAACACACCCAACACACACAAGCACATATATCGTAGCACACACACAGACCTACCCTTTTGACATCCATAAAGCCATACTTTATTGCCGCATTCCAGTCGCCTTCATTGTTGTGTTGTTATTATTTGCTATTAACTAATTTAATGTGTAATAACATTTGACATATTGTTTCAATGTATTGTTTTGATTTGTTGAACACACTTACACGCCCACTTACACACACATCCATGCGTGCACATCGCGCATAGAGCACATAGAGCGCATAGAGCGCACAGAGCACAGAGCTGGGTAAAAAGCCTTACATGGCCAGAATGAAGCCAGCAGCAAAGATTTCTAATATAAATCTGTGTTAGTTTATGGTTGGAGCGCTTCCTCCACATCTGCCGTCCTCCCTCTGCTTTCAGCCTTTTTTTCTCTGCCCTATGGTATGTTACATTACGTTAGAGGCTGTGAGATGTGAGAGAGGCTGGCAGCGCTATAGGTCACCTTTGTCGTACATTTTCTTATGTCGCTTTTGTACCTTTTTTGGTACATTTCATTTACAGAACCAAGTTTAGAAATTCCGCTACTTCAGCCTTTCCTCTTCCTCTTCCTCCTCCAAATTTTTTTAAGTCCTTTATTATTATTATTGTTATTATATTTCTTTTTCATGAAACTTTATCAATGTTCTTATTTTTGTTCTCATTTGTGTCGTTTTGAAAAGCGATTCATTGAAATATTTTCGGTATTCCGTTACCAAATATTGCGTGGGTGAATTTTACAGGGTGTTACGAATGACTGCAGATTCGGATTAAATGCTTAAGATTGTAAGACAGTTTCGGGTTTCATTAAGGTAATAATGAAACTTTATTTGGTATTTAGTGACCAATCAATCACTATTGTTGTCAATTTGATCCCAGTTTTTAACACTCTCTCACACAAGCGTATAGAAAGTTATACAACTCATGGCCATGCCATCACATTCCCACATTTCGTATATTATAAAATCTATGAAATGATCAAGTGGACTTTAAGTTGTACTCTGAGCTTAAATCTGCATGTTTCAGAGACCTAACAGAGCTACTGTTACTTATGATTTTGTTTGGATGTTAAAAAAACAGAGAGCTGTTTCCCAATACAAAGGAGCGCGGTGACAATGCCAGATCTTTTATTCTACTAACCGTTGTTCACTGAACACAAGACACTAAGCTCTTCGTATGAAGAACAATATATCGCATTTCGACGATGTGCTAATATTAAAGAAGGATAGTAGCCTTACAAAGATACACCACTGAATATTATTATTATGCAAAATAAAGTGACTTATCAATTACTCCGCAAATACACTATATGATCACATCATCGTAGCATAATCTTCGCTTATTCACATGTGTCAGGATTCCATCCTCCCCTACGCATCCAACAAAAAATCCAATTTTTTTTTTGCAGTAGGTGGAAAGCATTGAAAGCCATAGTGTAAGGCTTGAACCTACTAAAACAACCTCGCAGGAATGAATGGAGAAGATTTCCGCAGTATTGAGGAAACTCTATTCCAGTAATTAGGAGAGAGAGATATATTTAGAGGAAATAATTTTATAATCTTTATTTGACATAAGTATTATTTTATATCATGCATATATAGCTGACCTTGGTATTGCAAGAGACTACAGCTGCAGACTTTTTTACGCAGAAGAGAAAATAGCAGAACACATTCTCGCCAGATTCAGACTTCAATACTTAAGTGCCTATCCACTTACAACGGAATTAGGCAACATCTCTTCAAGAGACTTAATGACGTTCTTAATT